TCCTCACTCTATACTAAAGAAAATACTATTCCATCTCAATCATTACCCACGTCTCAAATTCATGCATAGTAGAGGGTCCTCAAATCTAAATCCATTACTTTCACAAAAGCAAATAATCTTAATTCAAAAACCCTTCTTCATTTAGTACTCAATCAAGTTCAAAAATGTTTTACTCAATAACACTATAGATGTCTTCTTAATTAAGATTAGCTATAAGAGCTACGATAATCAAGAAGTCTTTTGCTAGCATTTTCCATTAACAACTTAACACTTTGTCAGGTTCTTGATAACACATGAATGTTGGCACTTATGGGTTCTCCAAATTTGAATGAAATCAGAATTCACTTAGCGTAACAGCTAAGACCAAAATTATATCCAAAATCTGTTCAGAAGGTACCATACGAGCCCCAGAACTCACACAGTAAGATAAGCAAACAAAAGCTCAGAACACAGACCAACAGATTCAGACTTGATTCAGCAGAACCAACTTCCAATGTTTCTTAATTCCTACTTTCACCAAAACCACCTTCAAAATGAAAACCCAATCCAGCATACTGAGAGGATTTATCAACACACAGGGCAGAAACAACTTTTAATGAACGAACTCAGAACCTAACTTCTTTGTCAATAATATAGTGGTCAAAAATTGGTTCACTCAATTTAGTAATAGCATGTGGCCGGAACACATACAGAGTCAGTTTGGGTGTTCAGCCTAAAGATTGACCTATGCTAATATCCAATTTGGACACAAAGAGATGGTTGGATAAAGATAAGAAGAGTATAAAGATATAACTTGTATGAAGACACATAAACGTTATTTGCCATTTGAGTGGTTCAAAAATGGACAATCAATTTCGGATAAGACAGGTTAAGACATCATAAACAGAACCAGTTTTGGTATTTAATCATAAGTGATACAAGTATTGGGAATTAGACATAAGAATATGTTTTGGAAAAAGCTGAGTAAAGAGATACAACTTTCATAAGAAGTCAGAACAAATGGAAGTATAAAGGGGTCAAAAATGAGTTTCCAAAATCCCACGGCAGAAACCCATTCTCATATTAAAATCAGCAATTCAACAAAAACATAAAAGTTTCCCAAAATATATTCAAAACCCTAACCAATGTAAAACAACTTAAACAAGTGAAATTATGATTGCACTAACCTTATTAAAACAAAGCTTAGAATAAGCTATGGAAAGCCTTATTCCTTTGAGGATGGTCTCCAAACCTCTGTCAAAAGCATGAAAAAATCAACATTACAAAGCAAAAAACTTTGACGAAGAAATAGTTGGCAGCATTGATTTAATGCATCAAAACATGTCATACAACCATGAATTCTTACCTTAACATCACAAAACTCAAACCCCACAACTTACTTAAAAACCACAACTTACTTGCTTCAATGGTAACTTCACTTCTCTTTGCTTTTAATCACCAAACTCAACTTCTACTTCTTAATTCTTAAGAATTAAATACAAATCTATGGTTTAATTAGGTAGTTTGGTGGTAAATTTGGAGGTAAGAAAATGAAAGAAGAAGGAAGAAGATGGAAATGGCGTAGAGAAGAGAAGAGAAGAAAGACAAAAATGTTGTGGTGTTTACTTTAATTGCCAAAGTCAAATTTGACTTCCTAAAATCATGCAAAATGTGTGGCTAAGATCAAGTCCTAAGTAATCTCATCCAATGGCTCTAAATATCATCCAATGGTTCTAAATATTCCTCAAATAAATCTCTTCTACTTCTTATTTAACTCCACCAATTAATTAAATGAACTCCACTAAAATAATTCCTCATTTATTTCTTAATTTATTTCTATATACCACACTAGAAATATTTATGCATTTAAATACATAAACTTTTCCAAAAATATTCATTAAATATTTTTTCTACCACCTAAATCATGCAAACATGCTCCAAATAGTAAATAAATAATTAACTATGCATAAGTAATTTTTTCGGACTAAAATAATTACCAAGTCCCCGGACCGAATGGTACATAGTAATTTTTTCGGACTAAAATAATACCAAGTCCCGGACCGATGGTACTATTCACAGACCGGTAAATCACTATTACCGACACTAAAAGAAAAATCATTCTGTTACAGAGACAGCAGAAATGAAGGAAGAGAAACTTAAAAAAAAATACACAGCAGAGAAAGGAAAAAATAAAAGGGAGGAACCCATCACCTAGAGAAGGATTTTGGGAGAAGAACAGCGAATTCTTGATACGAAGGAGTTGTGATGTCTTGGATTATCTACCAATGAGAATTCTTTCGAGAATCGATTAAAAGGTATGAAGAATCACAAACCGAGAGCATCAAATCATCTTATCATTTATATTTATGGTTTATATGCTTTGATTTATAAGAATAAGAGAATAGATCTAGTAAGTGTTTAGATTTTAAGAGTTTGCAAACTCAAAATCTAATCTAAACCAATGTGCTTTGTTCTCTATTGTTTTTATAAAGTTGGAATCTAATTCTTTTGTTTAAAACAATTAATTAAAGCTCTTTTTTTGTTGTAAATAATGAAGATATAATTTCCGTCATAAGAAATCAATTAATTTTAATTCTTATTATAAAAATGAAGTTGGGTTATGAATAACTAATTGAGCATCGATTTGAATAAAAAAATCTAAGTTTTGTATCTTATTTGAGTGATATTTGTCCAAAAAAATATTGGAAACTTGTTCTTGTTCATACCTGTCATGACCTGTTTCCAAGGGCTGGACCGGCACTAGGACTTGGGTGGGCTTAAGGCCTCCTAGGCTCGTAGTAAGCATATATTCTAATCATAGTCATGGCTTTAGGCCCGTTAATTATATTTCACAAACGTAACAAAATGCGATTCATATAATTAATATATATACCCATATTATTCATTACAACCCATTTGGAATACAATTGCGGAACTCCATAATTTACGGTCTTTTTCATTTATATGCTTATTACAACTTTTAATAATTTTTTTTACATTTGTATTTTGACTCCATTGGTTCTCTAGGGTTCTTCATCCCACCTATCACACAAATGCATGAATAAATCAATCTAGTCCTTCGACTACTTATATGATCATGCAATTTATCACACAAATGACAAAACAATAGCAATCACAAAATATTAACACTTTCACATAATCACATCACGTGGAAATTGGTCAGTAGCGTCACCAAACCCCCGATGAGCCATCCTCACACATGGCCCACCCTCTCATCACGTGTGCACCAGGGAGCCGATCCCCCATACATGGCCAACCGGTCTCAACCTCGCTTGACCAGCCTTCTCATTTCATTTTTTTTATACTCTCTTTCCTTTCCACACCAACAGGAGGCCACCCTGTGGTTTTTCATATCATATATCATCAGATGCATACTAGAGCGCTGATCTTCCCATACATGGCTGACAGTATCATCGACTGCCCTCACAAATCCAACGGTGACCCACTTCATCCCAACTCCACACAAGCAAAGCAAACATGAAGCACATCACAACTAGTAAAATCATTTCCAATAGCAACAAATAATGCAACATAACATAACAATTTAATGAGTAATGCATGTCTAGAATTTAGCTATGTATGCATGGATGCAAATGCAGGTGGATGATGCAAATTATCTAACACTACTCACTAGTCGTGCAAGGTGGCCGAAAAATCAAACCTTCACCAAAATTAATAAACAATACATCATTTTATTCATTTCAACGAGATGATCACTAATACGTGATCAAATCAAGGTGGGTGCGAACTATTTGGTCGGAAATTGGCCAGAAAGGTTCGGTGGTACCCATTTTGTGTTTTCTAATTTCGGCTACGTCAGTCGGCGGGAAGGCCATCAAATGAAAGAGGAAGAAGAGAGGAGTTGATCGACACCTGCCTCAAAGCCTCAAGTCGCCAGAAATGGCGTGAAATTGCCGGGGAAGTTGCTGCGGCGATGCCGACCATTTCGGTTGAGATTTCTCTCAATACGGGCTCAAATCACCCAAACCAAGGCTTGAATCAAACGCCTTGCAATAAATAGATGATTTTAGAGCCCTCACTCACCGGATACAATAGTAGTTTGGCGGGAAAACGTGAAGAAAGGGGAGGGGGGCTGTTGAGAGAGAGAGAGAGAGAGAGAGAGAGAGAGAGAGAGAGAGAGACGCTGAGTCTCTCTTTTTTTTTTCTTTTTCTTTTTCTAGAATTTTCTAATTGGTTGATGGGGTTTGGGTCGATTCGAGTTTTGTTTGGTTCAAATCATGGTTTTAGCTTGGTTTTTCAATTAATTTATGGATTTTTCAAAGGATTTTGTTTAATTTAGGATTTGGATGGTTTTAGCTTGGTTTTTCAATTAATTTATGGATTTTTCAAAGGATTTTGTTTAATTTAGGATTTGGTTTAGCAAATATAAAATATATTTACGATAAATTTGTTAAATAAATTCACAATACATTGGCATTATTATTATAAATATAATAATGCCCTATAATATAATTGGCTAAAATTTATATTTAAATTTTTAAATGAAAATTTTTGAAAATAATTTTCTAGGTCGTTTCAATACAAGATATTAACTGGTACGTAACATTCTTACGTGCCTGTTATAACTCTTTACGCACCACTTGTAGACTCACACCTAGAGGCGGTATACCAATTAATGATTTTGATTGTCTTTATGATTTAAGTTTCTTTTTCTATGTTCCGTTATATTACATTTATTTATTCATTTTAATCCTAACTTTCTAATTTTATTTTGTATTTTTAATAATTAATGTTATTTTATTTGATTTTAAATGGATTTTTTTTTATATGTGATAATTTTAATTTAACTTACATTAATTGTTTACTTGCATCATTATTTAAATTATTATTGCTTTTGTTTTATTTTTATAAATATACTGGATTTAAGTAGCTAGCACTTTATTATTTAGTTAGTTATTATATGCTAATTGAAAGCTTCATAGATTCGAATACGTTTTAAGAAAACGTCATCAATCATTTAGCACAATCTCGATCCTGTCGGTGTTTGGTTTTTGGTGAATCCCATGTCATAATATCGGAACAAAATAAAAGACCAAGAAAACAATGGTTTGCCCATTCACCGAATGGCAAATTCCTCTTCACTGAAGAACCGTTACACATTAACGACTTTATTGTTCATTGTCTTGTTCCTCTTAACCATTTTCCTCTTCAGCAAACGCGCTCTCGAGCCTTCTCTTTCACTTTACAGAGATTTCTTTCCACAAACTGCTCTTCAACTTTCCATACCGAATTCCACTGAAGAATCACTGACCCGCGAAGCAATACCTCCAATTTCTGTCGGAGAAGAGAATGAAATCCCTATTTCTGATTCTGAGCTCATTGGCGCAACCACCCTCCAGCCAATATCTCCAGTTTTTCCAAATACAACGATAGAGACAACAGCTTTTCCAAATACAGCGATAGAGACAACAGTTATTCCAAATACAACGATAGAGACAACTAATGTCAAGGAGATTTCTAGCGAAATAAGAGAAGACCCAGTTTCTTATTCTGCTCTTGGTAATAATAGCGCTATTCAAAATGGCAAAAACTTAACGACAGAGTCAACTAAGAGCGGTGAGATCTCTCGTGAAGACAAGGAAGATCCGGCTTCTGATTCTGCTTCGGATAACAATGCGGCAATTCAAACTGGTAAAAATTGTGATCTGTACATGGGAACTTGGGTGAAAGATCAGGAATACCCAATTTATAAACCGGGTCAATGTCCTTATGTTGATGAGGCCTTTGATTGCGAAATCAATGGAAGGAGAGATTCTGATTATCTCAGCTGGCGATGGAAGCCTGACGGTTGTGATCTTCCTAGGTATGTACATTATTCATGAATGTTTAATCTTTAATATTGCTTTCGTTGCTTGATGTAAATTTGAGACAAATTATTAATTATTTGATTCTTCATGATAGATAATATATTTAATAACAAGAGAGAGTATAAATGTATGATTCTATTCCATAACATGGAACTTGGATGTATACAACTTAAACATCAACAATTGAGGAACAAAATGGTGACAGAGGGCTGTCTTTTGTATATCCTTGTTGTAGTGGAGAGAGAGAGGAAGAGAGCGCCCACCAAGCGCTCATGCCTTCATACTAAAACCAAATACTCTTAGTTCTTTTATCAGAGCTCAAGAAATTAACTAGGTTGCTAAAGTAGTTAGGGTGTCTGAAATGAAGGATCTCATCACAATTGGTAATCCAAAATATGGGAATTCTTATTAAACACTGAATAAGAAGCAAAAGATTAACTACACAAGAAAATTTCCCTCAAAATTTTCCTAGTAATAATAAATTTTTCTTTTCCTATATCAAATTATTTTCAAATTTCTTTTTCCTTGTTTCCATCAATTTCGAACCTAGAATTTCATTTCCAAAGAAGTGTTAGCTAGGTGCTTTCAAAATCTCTCTATATATATTCTTGTAATTCCTTCAGTAGAAAGAAATGGTATTAATTCCACAAAAATTTCAAAAGCTTTTAGCTCTCTAAGATTACGCATGGCTTAGATGTGATGTTGACAATACTTTGGATGTGGCACAAGGAATTCTAAGGAAACTTTTAGAATATTTTAACTTCCTTTGCTTTTATAAGAAACTTTTGAATTCCATATCTTATTTTATTTCTTCAGATTTTCATGGAAGATAGAATAATATGCTTCAAATTGTTGTCAGATCTACAACTGTAAAATTAACATAAGCTGTCAAGTCTGACTTGCCTCTTCTTTTTTTTATTTCCAACCATACCATCGACAACTCCTAAACCCTGAAAATTATTGTTTTATTTATAGCTCTTGAAACCATACAAACCCTTTCAAATAAACTTTTGAGATACTTATTGTATCAGCTTATGACTTTCTTACTCAACATTGCCCAACTATCCTATAACAGAATTATTAGACAATTGAATAGTGTTTGGAAACTGCTAATTCTGGTTTTCTCTATATCACTTTTGATAATAGTCCTCTTATAACTTCTATCCCTTCATCTTAGTTGCCTCGGTCATTTTGTATAGAATGTCACCATCCTTTTTACAATAATATCTGTCTAGCCATTTTTTCTTATTAATAAACTTCGTATCAAACACCATAGCATTATTCTTAGTTCTGAATTCAACTTCCACCTTTCTTGTCAAGAAGAAAACTCTGTTGCTTTCTTGAGTTTACCTAGGTTACCATTAGGATGATAGGAGTATTCAAAAGTACAAGTACTTTCTGTGACTGATATTGCTCTTTACTCTAGCTTGTAATGGGGAGTTGAAACCTGAAAGTGATATTGTTCTTTTGAGGTAGTAGCTTGGTGGTATTATGCTGTTAATCTGATAAGTTTGTATAGTGGAGTTCAATTATCAATTTTCTACCCTCTTTCTTCTCTTAATTACTCTCTTAAGCACCAACTTGTTTGAAGTGATCATTATTTCTTGGAAGTTTATGATTCTAGAATTCCTGATAAAAGTGAAAGTTTCATGAATTTAGATCTTGCTGATAGGAAATTCTATAATTTTGGGAATCCTGATAAAAGTCAAATCTTGCTGTCACCATATTCCCTTGTCTTGATTCTTATTTATTTTTTCTTTATGAGATCGGATAGGAACATTTGTTCGTTGTAAAGCTCTAGTTCCAAATATAAAGTTCAATGTCTCGATGTAGATGTCATGTGCTTCAGGCTCCGTTTATTTCCGTAAAATAATTTGTAGGAAAATATTTTTCACAATTTTCCATTGTTTGGGGGCATTCAGTAAAATAAGTCAACGGAAAATATTTTCCTGGTCAAAGGAAAATTAAATCATTTTTAAGGAAAATGACTTCTCATTTTCATGCAAGGAAAACATTATCTGGACATTGATAAATTTTTTATAATCTTATAAACGCATATTTTTTTAATTTATTAATTATTGGTATCTGCTACCACTGGACACCTTTCACCGTCAACTACCACCACCAGCGACTGGTCACTGTCAGCCACCGGTTACCGGCGACTTTCATAATTTACTATTTTTTTGCATTTTTCTCATATTTAACAATAAAATTTTTAAAATATGAAATTTCTATTATTATTATTAATATTTTTTCTCATATTTACAATAAAATTTTAAAAATATGAAATTTCTATTATTATTATTAAAATCATTTTTATGTTCTTATGAATTAAAGATTTTTAATTTTTTTTGACTAAATTTTTAGTTGTTTTTGGGCAGGACTCCTTTAACTTTAATTTTCTTATATTTCTATTATTATTATTAATATTTTTATGTTCTTATGAATTAAAGATTTTAATATTTTTTGACTAATTTTAGTGTTTTTGGGAAGGATTCTTTAACTTTAATTTTCTTATTGTTCTAAATATAATATTTTTGGTAAGTATATAACTCCATTGGCTTTTGAATATCCCTTTCTAGTTTTGCTATAAGTTTCGAACCAATTCACCAATACCTGAGCTCTTGGAAGATGTGAAATGGAAAGGAGTATTTAACTAGATGCATAAACACATTTAAGGTTATTAAGACTGAAATTGCACTAATATAGGAAGATTTAGCTCATTGAAGCTGTAGCAGATAAGTGTTACTAGAGTATATCACAGAATATCAGTTAAGTTGAAGGGGGAAGTTCTCTAGGGTTGTGATTTGGCCATGTATGATGTTTGATGAGCATTGACCTGTGAAGAAACAACATGCACTCAAAATCAACATGATAGGAATGAGGAGGTTAAGATGAATGTTTGAAAAGATACAAGGATGGGTTATATAGGAATTTACATCAGTAGAAATGTGGAATTGACGCCTATTGAAAAAAAGTAGAGAAAAGGAAGATTGAGATGGTTTGAATATGTTTATTATAGACTGAAAATTGCACTAATATAGGAAGATTTAGTTCATTGAAGTTGGAGGATATAAGAAAGGAAAGACAAACCTTAGATGATGTTGATGGAAATAGTGAAAATGTACTTCGCAACTAGATCTTTTGAAAATATAGTCCTAAACTAGATGCAATGCAAGAAGAATGGATCATGAGAAATTAGAGAAGGTTTTAAGCTTTTGCTTGATTGTTCCCTCAAGCATATTAGGTTTAAATAGAATCAAAACAATTACAAATATGGTAAGTCAACTACTAATTGCAAACCCTAATGATATCTAGAATAATTACAAGATATTCTAACAGATCCATATAAATTGCCTTACTAGTTTTAGATTCAAACTTGTTTCAGTTAGATTTAATTTGTTCTCTCTTCTAATGACAGTTTGCAATGTAGAGGTTCATATATATCGACTTCAATAACAGTACTTAAAAGATTTCTAATCCTTCTTCCATGCTCTTTGAGGTCATCAGAATCTCTAAGGTTAATGAGATAACCACTGATCACTGTGTGTAAAATTGTTTTAATTGTATCCTATTTTTCTGCTTTGAAAAAAAAAATTATATCAAGGTAATTGTTAATTCATTTTTAGACAAAATATTGGACTTTGTCTCCCATTTATCATGTGACGTGCACATTTATTATTTCTCATTAATCTTGGTTTTCGTTTTACCATCATGCAAAAGATTAGAATTCAGAATTTTCAAAAGTTACTGTTGTCCATTATGCAACCAAGAAGGAGAGAGAGGAAAGAGAGGGAGGGGGTATGAATTTTTTATTTTAAAAATTTGGAGAAGATAAAATAAATTTGAGAAAAATAAAAATTAAGAATGGAGGAAGAACAAGAAAGATGCACAATCAATATATGGAGGTTCAGCTTCTCCGAGCCTATGTCCTCTCCTCGAGGCTCTCCTTGAGAGTTCTAATCCACTAACTCAATCTTCTTTAGGTGAAGATTAAACCATATAGCCACAAGTGCAAACCCTTGCAATTAACAATCCAGCCATATGGAGATAATTACAACAATTGGATACTCTCACTTTCAACCCAATGGTGTTTTCCATACTTTAAAATTAAACAATTTACTTGGCTTAATATCTAGAGAGAGAGAGAGAATGTAAGAGTGGTTTAAACTCACAAATTCACAATAGAACACTTTTGTAATAAACTTTCTTCTTGTTCTAAGCCATATCTACACTTATATATAGCCTAAAATCGAAAATGACCATTGGCAAGGCTCCAATTCAAATTGTAGCTCTTTGACATACAGACTAGCCTGTTATACTGTGCCAGAGAAACGAGGTTCAGCAGCCAAGCCTCAACTTTCAGGAGGATCTCTGTCAGCGAAAATAAAGCCTCTTGGAAAGCAACTTTTGGTGGCTGAAAGTCCCTGAGTGTTCTTACTGCCATGTAGTTGAACCTGCTTCAATTGCCAAACGCCTGTGCCCCTATAATCTCTGTCTTTTTGCCCCCAGCAACCAAACTTAACAGGGCAACAGACTGTTTGAACTTCAATACATCATAAGTTTAGCTATAATTCTCAAATTTTCAAATCGTTTGATCCATTGGAAACTAAATAACTTTTCAATGACATAAAATACTCAAAATAACTTCTTCCAAAAATGCCTGAATGTTCATTTCAAATCGCAATAAAGTACAATTACTTAAAAAAACCTTTGTCAAAAGCCTTTCAAATGTTAAATTCTAGTTTAATAAGTTCCCATTTGAATGAAAATTGACTCTAAATCATTTTCAATGTGTAAAATTAAAGAAAAACAAGATTAGTGAATTAAAGACAAACTATTTCCCTAGGGTTGAGCCAATTCAAAATTAATTGTGATAGTCCTTAAACTATATGTTACAAAATAGAAAACTTTTATTGTGGAGCAAATAAGCCTGAGTTGTATTGATTAGGCATGATTAAATTGAAATATGCTGCTATGGAAACATAATGTTGTTTAGTAGTTGTTTACTTTTTTCCTATTCTTTTAATGAACATTTAAATTTTTTATGTTGTCTATTATGAAATAAAATTACAACTAAAAAACTTGCATGCATATGTAAATGCACTATTTATCATATGAATTTTAATAAAGGCTACCCTGGTTTAATTTACATAACAAATTTAGCAAGAATACAATTGTTTTCTGCATTCACTTTTCACTTGTAGGTTTAATGCAACAGACTTCTTGACAAGATTGAGAGGTAAGAGGCTGATGCTGGTTGGAGACTCCATGAACCGAAATCAATTTGAATCAATTCTGTGCATGCTCCGAGAAGGCCTTCATGATAAGAACAGAATGCGTGAAATCCACGGCCACAAAATAACAAAGGGAAGAGGTTACTATGTCTTCAAATTTATGGTAATTGCAGACTTTACAACATGGTATTTGAGGATGTTATTGGCTGCACATAGTTGCTATTTTTTTTTTTTGGTACAAATGCAGAGGATATTCTTGGGCCAGCTTGCATATAGGTGCTATGGTACATTGGTTTTATAAGAAACTTTTTTTTCTTTTTGTAAGAACTTTTCATTGGACAACAATCAGCCATGTAGATATACTCATTCTGCTGCATCACCAGTAAAAGTTCCTTTTTCATTTTCTCTTTCAAAAATAACTTACAATACAAGCAACTGAGATTAGCTCGGCTATACATATAATAAGCCACAACACCATCTGCCATGGCTCCTGGTCATTTTCTCAGTTCTTCGTAAAAGAAAATCTTGAAAGGCTTTACTAGTGCACTAGGTAATACCTAAGAGAGTGATATATTTCTCTTTTCCTGGTTGTGGACAATCTATAGAATAAATCATGATAATTTTACTCTCACTCTTATCTCTCTGTTCATTTATATGGTCTAATAAATGTCAGTTACTGAATATATGTTTGGCAGGATTATAACTGTACGGTGGAGTTTGTAAGGTCACATTTCCTTGTAAGGGAAGGGGTTCGAATAAATGAACAAAGAAACTCAAACCCAACTTTGTCCATTGATCGAATTGATAAGACATCAGGCCGCTGGAAGCGAGCAGACATTCTTGTTTTCAATACAGGGCACTGGTGGACTCATGGAAAAACTGCACGTGGGTATGTCTACAATCTTGTTTATAATTTGAACATTATTTTGTGTCAGTTTATTCACCAAAAGATGTTATGTTTTTCCTGCATTTCTATTTTGAGATCACTTGCCTGTCTTTTGATATTGATGGTAGCAAGACTGAGCTTGGTAATTGACGTGAAACCAATTTGTTTCATCTATTCAACACAAGAATGTTCATACTCTTTTGATGACAATTCTAGACTTGATAGCTGCAGAAGAGACTGAGCTTAGGATCCTTACTGATCCCAATATATCATAATTTCTTGATGTCTTGTTTGCTTCTATCCACATATATGAGCCTTCTAGAAAAATAGTTACAAACTGCTATGTAATGCAGGAAAAATTACTATAAAGAAGGTGATTATCTCTATCCTCAGTTTGATGCAGTTGAGGCTTACAGAAGGGCTCTGAGAACCTGGGGAAAGTGGATTGACGAGAATGTGAATCCTGCGAAGCAGTTGATCTTTTATCGTGGATATTCATCAGCTCATTTCAGGTACATCTGTCTTAAATTTTCTTCCTTCTGAAATACTATACCTACTTTTTGACAGAAAAAACTGGGTGGAAAGTGGAAAAATAAAAAGAGGAGAAATGGAAATCATCTCTGTTGTTTCTCTTTCTGCACTGCTCAGATGCTGTCTATTGAAACATTTTGTTTTCTAAAGTTTTCTAATTCCTTTCAAAATTCTCCGTGTGTTGAATTGCAATGAACAGAGGTGGGGATTGGGACTCAGGAGGGACGTGTAATGGGGAAACTGAACCGGTATTGAATGGGACAATTCTGAATAACTATCCTTTGAAAATGAAGATAGTGGAGGAGGTAATCCGAGAAATGCAAATCCCAGTGAAACTATTAAATGTGACAAGGTTGACCAATTTTAGGAAGGATGGACATCCATCTGTCTATGGCAAGAATGTCACAGCGGGGAAAAAGGTTTCCACAAGGAGGCAAGACTGCAGCCATTGGTGTCTTCCGGGGGTACCTGATGCATGGAATGAGCTGATATATGCGAATCTGGTTTTTGGACAAACAGTTTCCAAGATTTAAGAAGAGAAATACTATTCTTTTTTCTTAAAAAAAAAAATATTTTTAACAGGATGATGTATACTAGTGATTTTCTCATGTAATTGACTGATGGTTTTGCAAATCATCTTTTGACAATGATCGTGGTTGGATGATGCATATGCTTGTAATTTGTTAGGATCATGTCAAAGCGACCCAAATCTAGAATTATGGAACTGTTTGTTTAGTGAGCAAAGCTAAGAAAAAAGGGTAAAACTACAAAAAGCTAAGAAAAAAAGGGATAAAATTATAAAAATACTATTAACTTTGCGATTTATTGTAAAATTACTTTATTTTGATCTTCGTATCCTAGGTACATGAGTTTGCAAACTTAAATATATTGTCGCTCCATTTTGAAAATACCTAGATTTTGATACAATATTATAAAAGTGAGACTCATTGGTTATCCTTGGGTTTAAGGGATAACCTTGGGTTTAAGGGTGGCCACGGTTCCGAAACCGGCGGTTCCGGTTCCAGAAAAACTGAAATCAAAATCGAACCGAAAAGGTCCGGTTTCGGTTCCGGCTGTTGATCGGTTTCGCGTTGTCCGGTTCCGGTTCCAGTTCCAGGTTCCGGCTTCGGTGACAAACCGACCGTATCCGTATCTGGTTTCTTCGGCGAAATCACTATAATTTTAAATTTTCGACAAACCGGTTTAAAAACAACTTTATGCTTGAACATAAAAAACATTAAAAAATACACCTAAAAAAATTAAAAAAAATTACTTCAATTAAATTCTATTTTTTTAAAAACCTTGAAATAATTTTTTTAAAAAAAATTTTCAACTGAATTTATTTGTTTGTTTAAAAAAATAAGTTTGAAACAAAATTTTATAAAAAAAAAAAAAAAAAAACTAGGTCTGACAGTTCTATTTAATGCATAGAACCGGCCGGTTCGAACCGGACTCGGTTTCCAGTTCTGGTTCCGACCCGTTCGTTCGGACACCGCCCGGTTGCTCCGACGGTTTTCTAGAAGAAATTATGGAACCGGGAATCCGAACTGGAAATCTCCGGTTCCAGGTCTTCGGTTCGGCCCGAGGTTCCGATCCTCACCGGTTACCGCGGTTACGGGTTTCCGGATTTGGTTTCGAACCGACCATGGTTCCGCCAGTTCCCGGAACCGTTTAATCATTGGCCACCCCTACTTGGGTTAACTCAAAAAAATCAAATGCAATCTCTCCGTCTCTCTCTCTTTCTCCACCCGAATACAAACCACCATTTTAATACACAAAACAAGAAAGCTATTATTTATTCTCACCGGTTCCGGTTACGGTTCCGGATTGGTTCGAACCGACGGTTCCGGTTCCCGGAACCGTAATATGGCCACCCCTACTTGGGTTAACTCAAAAAATCAAATGCATCTCTCTCTCTCTCTCTCTCCACCGAATACAAACACCATTTTAATACACAAAACAAAAGCTATTTCGAAACTATAATAAACACTATCAATTCAATGGAAAGTACAAATCTTGAACACTTTCCTACTTGTTTAACTTCATTCTTTCCCTTCTCTCATTAAACCCCTTCGTTGATCAATCATTGAAGAATTCTACTTTCAACGATTGAAAGGAGGATGATCCCACTCCTTGCAGCTGGACTGGCATTTCTTGTATGAATATAACTGGATTTCTCGACCCGCGTGTCGTCAGAATTGCAATCCATTAGGAATCTTCTTGGGTATAACCCATCGGAGCGAGGAACTCTAGTTTATGAGTAAGTCAAAGAGTTCATTCAAATAAAAAAAATAACAAGGTATCCACTCCACTTCTAAACCTCTCCAATATTGCATATGGATCTTTTTAGACCAACTAGAGTAGCTACCTTAAGTGACACGCTTTATGTATTTGTGATTGTTGATGACTACTTTAGATTCACTTGCTTTGTATTCCTTGCTTATGAAGATGATTGTTTTAATGCTTTTGAAAAATTTTAATGCAGAAAGTCCAAAGTACAAAATATTTTCTAATCTCTTCCATTAGAACTGATCATGGTAGAAATTTGAAAATCAAAATTTTGAAAATTTTTGTGATAATATTGGCATTACATATTATTTTTCTTCTCCAAGAGCTCCCTAACAAAATAGTGTTGTTGAAAGAAAAAATAAAGTTTGCCTTTTGTTTAAAATATGTTCGAAATAGAGTTTAAAAATCAATTGGTTTGTTAAAGTTCACTACGAAAATATTTTTGGTTTCGGCTCTTGGATGAGAAAGTTTACTTCCTTTTAACTCAACTTTTTCTGTATATGTTAATGGAGATTCTTTCTCCCTTTATATATCTCTAATTTTGTTATTTCCTTTCAATATGGGACAACTTTACTTATCACTAACTATATATAAACAAACACACATAACTATATAACATAAAACCAAGGAAAGTTAATTGATCTCATTTTGAGTTTATTTATAATAGGCAGTTTATTGATAATAGTTAATTCACAATTCAGTCATTTTATAACTCAACTTATATATCATAACTACATGATTATCGCATAAGCATTTTAAAACCTAATAACAGAAGATTGAAAAATTACAAAGCAATCCATAAAGTTTTACAATGGTTACAATCAAACTTATTTATACTTATACTTGAGTTCAAGCATAGTTCACTTGTTCGTGTGTATGCAAGCACTATTAGTATTGCACATGCATTGTTCAAAAGTTTATATTTTATAAAAGAAGAAATTTTTAAGTGCAAAGATTTGCACTTAAATATTGTAAAGGTCTGCTTTTTATCCAAAGAATAAATTATTAGTGGATTGGAACTCTCAAGAAGGGCCTTAAGGAGGACGTAGGCTTAGGATAATTGAACCTTTTTAAATTCCTTGTGTCTCATCTCTTCTTTCCTTCGTTGTTTGCCAATGTTGTGGTAGCAATTGTCCTATGGATGAGTTAAATGAGCCCAAGTCATAATCGAAACGTGGCGCTTGGATTGATGTAGTTAAGTAGAAAGAGTTGTGTAATGATTAATAGCTATAGTTTTTTGCCAATTTGTAAGTGTTCGAACTAACAATTGGTATCAAAACCAAGGTCACGTGTTCAATTTCCAGCTGGAGCAATTGCTAAGGGGGAGATTATTGCCAAGATTATCACAGTAACTGTCCCATAAAGGAGGCCTAGGTGGCTAAGTCATAATCGAAATGTAGTGTTTGGGCTGGCGTAATTAAGTAGAAAGAGCTATGCACTAACAAATAATAAGAATTATAGCTTTTGTCCTAATGGTAAGCATTATATCCAACATCAAGCATATAATAGAGACATTATCAACTTTATCAATGCTTAATTTGAATATTTTATCAGATGAACATTCTTGTCTAATAAAAATACTATTTTTAGAGAATAACTTATTTTTCGTCTCTGTGACAACCTTCTAGCCTTTCTTGCTTGACAGATTCTCAAAAACCAGATTCTTTCCCATATCAAGGACATAGAAAATATTTTGTAAAAATAACTTCTTTCCAGCAACTTCTTTCATCACAATTCCTTCTCCATGAACTTTTATTGTGTCATGATTTCTCATCAAGAATTTTCATCTTTTCCACCAAATTGTTGCCATGTTGGATTATGCTATCATGGCAATAACCTCGGGTTTAACTTCATTGGTGATCCCTCAACTTAAGACCTCCGCACTTAATTGTGGTTATACTTCAATTTGTAACTTAAAAATGCTTCAACTTTCATTTTATAATATTGAAAATGTCTGAGCATTTTAATTAATTTTCCGGCTCCAGATTTTCAAGTGGCATGATACGTGGCTATAAAAAATCAAAACAGTCTAGGTGGCATATTATTTATTTGTGTTAAAAATACTTTTAAATAATAAAAAATTAAAATTTAATTGATATAGTATAGATATAGATTAATACCATCCCTAAACTTTAGCTTAACTGCTCTTTTTATTTCCTAAATGTACTTAATGGTTATTAAAAATTAATCAACAACATTAATTAAAAATTAAAAAAAATAAAAACTTGCTAATTGCCTAGTAATTGAAGCATGAAACTTTAACCACATGTATGTACCCTAATGATCCAATGATCTTGCTACTTTGCCAAGAAATAAAATTAATTTGATTTGAGTAAATTGTAAAAACTTTCTATTATTATAAATTTACAAGTTAAAACCTAAATAAATTAATAATATATTTCTTAAAACCATTAATAAATTTTTGGATTTACCAAGGAATATAATTTAATTTTTAATCATTATTTAATTTCAAGTAGTGTAAATTAAGTAATTTATTTTTTAAGCAATAAAAAATATTTTTTTTTTTGTTTTAAAGATACTTTTAAGTAATAAAAAATTTAAAATTTAAAAATACTTAATTGATTTGGTTTAATTTTTTATTACTTAAAAGTATTTTTAAAAAAAAATATATATAGTATGCCACCTAGATAGTGTTTTAATTTTTTTTATATGCCATGTGTTGGCAATCCGATGCCAGAAAATTAATTAAAGTGGTCAAAAATATTTTCAGTATTACAAAATTAAAATTGAAGCATTTTCAAATTACAAATTATAGTATGGCACAATTAAATACAAACACCTTAAATTGAGGTACCACTAGTGAAAATAACCCCAATAACCTCTGTAAAGTTTGATTGGTGTTTAACAATATTTGCATTTTTTACTAGAAGTTTCTTCCAATTTCAGCTTATAGAAGGAACAAGGCTTGTTCTTGTTATTATTAGCAAATTAGAACTTGAAGAAACATTAGTATTTTTCTCTTATTTCCGGGCTTAGTTTTTTAGATTTTAATGTTAGACTCAATATTATTGAAACACCTCGTAATTTTATTTTCAAAACTTTTGAATTTTTATTAAATAAAAAATAAGAAATTTTTGACTGTATGGGCTGCAAAAACCATATAAGTTCGATCTGATCCCAAGTTTACAGAGTTGGGCTCAAGCCCAAAACATATTATTGGAACTTCTAGTTAGAAACAACCTAAACTTCTTAAAAATTAATATTGAATCACTCAAAATGACCATAGAAATTATATTTACTACTTGACTTGATGATCTTAAACTCTAATATTATTATAATGCAACTATTGGTGAATAAATTAAAGAAAGGTATAAAATTTGATTAAATCAATTAAACAAATCGACCAGTAAGAATAAATTGAGAATATACGACAAATATTTAATCCTTGTTAAACCAGAATCATAAATTGGCTTAAAATTTCTAAA